ATCTTTCCTCTTTATATTAGTTTAGGTGTCACTCGTTTACTCTGGCGTTCTTTTTTATGTTCTTTTATCTATTCTAGAATATTCCTTAATAAATTCATATAAGCAAAGAATATTGTTTCAAACTTTTTGACTACAATATCGTCAATTACAATCAAGTTTTAAATTCACAAACTTAGCTTTTTTATTTGTCTTTTTAATGGAATAATAATGGCTTTGATGGATTTGTTATTGGAAAGTACATTGATTTTTGTGTTAGGGGACTAGTGTTTCTTTCCCCTAAAATTAGTAATTCGTATTCCCTTTGCGGCTGTTTTCGTTAATTACAGTGTGTATCGAATTATTAATTATGATTTCCTTGTCTAGTCGTTTGGGTAAATGTTATTTAATTTCGGAGTTTTTGGTCAATTTTAGTAGTAACAGAAAATTGTCATTTATCGTGTAACGTAATTAATAGTTTGCCGCTGTTTTTAGATGGTTTACAACATGCAATGTTTGCGTTAAAAAACCGTAAGGTTTTGTCTAGTGTTCTAAAGTGTATGTTAAATATTGTGTCAAGGAATTACAATTTACATGGAAAAGTATTGTTTGTTAGTAAAATCTACTATTTTTTACTGTACGGACGAATTCGCGGGCAAACGCCAGTCGAAACGACATCGGCACAAATTCAGCTACAAAACAAATGAAATCGATCTTATCAAATATTTTGTCTTCCCAGTTATTAAATGGTGTAGAAATAATGAAGTACACCAGCATCATTAGTAAGCGAATAATCTGACGCTTTTGTCAAAGCCACTGTCAAAGTAATGATTGTCAATATCGCAATAGTAACGACATTGTGGCTCACTCTTTCGGAACTGATATCAGTTAAATACACTTCTATACAAATTTAGCTTCTATTTGCAAGAGGATAAAGTTAGTAATCGTGTACCAATATCAAGTCCTTCAGGGGCCTGCATTTGATTTGGTCTTTAAGAAGCAATATCCAACTGATTCTTTGGGAATACGTTTCTTTTTCGTAAGTATTTGCATTAACTCGAGTCCTCACAAAAGGGAAATTTGCTTACCGTTGTTTGAATAGATTCAGTACGAGATCCAAGCTTTAATGCAGACCGTGTTACTTTGATTTGGAGATTTGGGGATCGTTTTCTAAGCCCGATTGTTGTCTTACGTAAAGATAATGAATGCTTGAATTATTAGGATAATGGTTTTTGAAAAGTTTTCTTATTTTGGTGTCAGAAATGTGTATATTATGAAACTAGTTGTTGCTCGCGACTTCGTCTACGTGGAATTAAAAAAATAGTTAAATACAGCTTATGTTACTCACTGATACTATAGGTTTTTAATGGTAAAACTATTTTAAAATCGGCCCAGTAGTTTTTGAGTTATTTCAATACATACAAAAATATAAATCTTTTCTCTTTATATTATTTTTACAGTTAGATAAATGTATATACATTTATGTATAATTAATACGGATTATCAATAAAAGAAAGATTTGGACATATGTTGTAAGGTAATGATCACAAAAACGAGTAAGTAATAATTTTGAATTTGGCTACAAATGTAGAGGAAGACCAAAGAAAGTATTGATGGAATATGTGAAAGAATTGATAGAGATGTATGAAAGATTACACAATACAGACCCTAGGAACAAGATCAGTCTTATGATAGGACTATCAATGAATTGCCTATCTGATTATTTAAAACACAATCTATACTATTATAATAAAGCGTAAACACACACTTCTTTGTTGCTCAAGATGTCAGCAAAAAATATGCATTTTTGAATAAAGAGACCATAAGTTGCTGCCAACATCGAGGAAGCAAGATGGCCAAGGTTTGTCATGTCATGTCATTTTGACATTTGCTATTAATAATTTGACAAACGTAAACAATAATTTTCATAATTTTATGCTGATGAAGCCGCACGGGAACAGCTAGTGTTTTTATACAGATGTTTACAGTGGAAATTCACAGAAGTCAAACCAGCTATCACTTTTACATCTTATCTGTTAAAATATTACAGAGATTGCTTTGTATGTTGCCACAAGGCTATCAGTTGCTACTGTCATTAATTAACTGTATCGACTATGGCCACTGTTTGTTTATACTAATATTATAAAGAGGAGAGATTTGTATTTTTGTATGTATTGAAATAACTCACAAGCTACTGAGCCGATTTAAAAAAATCTTTCAGCACTAAATAGCTACGATATCAGAGAGTAACGCTATGTTTTCATTAATATATTTCACGGGGACGAAGTCGCGTGCGACAGCTAGTAAGCAATGTGAATATGTGTCATAGAGTGTAATTTTAAAGTAACTTACTTAAATTAAATACAAATTCTGTGTTCTGGTCTTATGCGCGGTTAATACATGACCAGTAAAGTTGGTACAACTGGACTGTCCATCTACTGGCATAGTCTGAACAATAATAAGTGCCAGACCATACAGCCCATAATCGACCGTCGCAACTATCCAACAGTATCGCACAAGTTTGTAGCTTTATGTTCTAGAAATTCATCTAAATTATGGCTTTAAGTAATTAATATAATTTTAGGTATTTCGATACAAATGATTTAAAAAAATATAGACGATGCCAAATTAACAATACTTGTTAATTACTTTAAAACTAACACAAAGTCAACTACATATGTAAAGATATCGAACGTTCCGTGGTGACGACTAGCAATGTACTCAGCTATTGAGCTTCTGAGCGAATAATGGCCTGTCGGACCGAGCCCTGTGAGACTCCTTGCAAGTGTTTTATAAAACTACCCCCCACTTTTCCTACTATTTCCTAACAATAATACATTTTTACTTGCCAATATTTGCTTCATTCGCGATGTATGTAAACTTAGTTTTTTTTTTCTTTAATGTTTATATCTTTCAAAGTTATATCTTTGTTGAAAGTGTTGTGGTATTAGAGCCCGCATAGTAATGTGACATTTATTAAATGCTGTAAAATTGATAGATGCGAACGGAGGCATCGTTAAATAATGGTTGCTGATTTATGGCCGTGAGTTATTGTCTTCGACGCGTTTATCTGCATTGTTGGTAACGTTAAATTGATCTAATAATAACCTCAAACGGTTTCATTACATAACAGATGTTAAGTTATGTTTCCGTTGTTTTTTGTTTTGTTGTTTACATTTTGAACTCAATTTATGTATCTTAAGAATAGCTGTTCCCGTGCTTCATCCGCATGAAATTATAAATGCTTTATTTTATTGTTTACATTTGTCAATTTCTCAATTGCAAATGTAAAAATTTCCGATACCAAAATAAACTTGCTTCCTCAATGTTCGTAGCTTTTAGATCCCTTTTTCACATGAAGTTTTTTCCAATTTACTTATCCCCTAAGTTCAATAGCTTGAAAATATATAGCCTAAAGCGTGACGTCAGTGTAGGGCTTTTTATTAAAAAATTAATTATTCAAAAATATGCTGTTATTGCTGACATCTTAGGCAACAAAGAAGTGTGTGTTTTCGCTTTATTATAATGTATGGATGGATTATTTTGCAGAAAATTTACATTTATAGCAACGTTTATTATAATTAATTTTTGGATATTTCCTTTAAAGTTAGTCGTAAATCGTGTTTTATTTAAGAAAGAATAAAAAATGCCCCTCATTTCTACAGCAAATCATGCGTAGGTCTTATAAAACTGTCAAGAACAATTGACGTTCGCATCTATCATAAACAGATTGAAATTTATATCACGAACGAGACAATAAAAGTAAATTGGCTTTCGGTCCGCTTTTATTATCCGTCAATACGCAACAAATAAAACGATAACGCATCGATAACTTTCAAACTCTTGCACGAATACGATCGTACGGACCGCGTTGAACGATTCCTGGGCCCCAGGCCACGGGCATTTGCCAACCGAACTATAATGGCACAATAAATAGTTTGCAGCCCTCACCCATCTGTCACTTAACTACTAAAATATACAGACGTCATTCGGGCCGCGTTGAAAAATCGCAACAATTGAGAACCCTTGCCGCGAAGCTGTAGCTTTTCGACTTTGCATTGATTATTTTAAAGTCCAATTTGCATTGTCTCATTCGATGAATAAATTTAAATATTTGTTAACTTAAAATGTAACCCGTGTTGCCGGAAATACAGTCCAAATTGCACGGGTGAGCATTTGTTTCTTGGATTGCTGAATGCGGGGATTTGAAAATCGGTTTTAACGTCGACGCTTTTTAGGTGCATTTTTTTCGCTCGAAGGAAATGTGGGGTTGGTTGACTTTGAAGTTCAAAAGGGTCCCCTCGATGTGGGATTCTGTTGGATTTCTTTTAGGATTAGAGACCTTACGAATTTAATGATAGTGCTTGGAGGGTTATTACTGGTCGGTTATTTCCCAAGCGCCCTTAAAAGTTCTTTTAACGTCGTTTCTTCGCACTCAATCTGTGTTAATTAGAATTGTAGATTACTGTGGGTATTCATTGAAACTGATTTCAATTTTTAATTTATCGAACTTGAATATTTACTGAGATGAAAGACATTATACGTTCACTTTCTTAGAAGTATAATTCATGTGAATATCTCTAAACGAATTCACTTGTTTATTTTTAGTCATGGTTTAACATGTTTTAACGCTAGATGGCGTTTTATCAGATTCCATTAGTCTGAATAATGCGTTAAAAACAAATTACCACTGTTAAGTTCCCACAATCCTATATTAATTAACAGTTGTTACTTGTAAAAAGTCGCTTTATTTAATACAAACAAAACTACTGCCTTTTAACTCGTTATCGTACTGTTTACTCGTAAACTTTCCCTGCAACTGACTGTCGCTGGCTCTATTTAAATGTTTGCTTTAAAAAAAACATTCCAACTTTTTAATTACACATTTGGCGGGCATACGATTCATAAGTTCGTTCAAATATTTAAACATCGAACAAACGCGGGGAGAGATGAATTAATTATCGCTCTATTCTTACCGGCCAGTTGTTTATTTATTTTTAATATTCTTTTTTTTTATTTCGCAGGTACGGGGCCGTGGGAATCTGACAGGAGGCAAAGACAATATAATGTCAGTCTACAATTTGTAAGTGTGAATCGTATTGAATTTTTTAAATTACAGAAACGTAGTAGAAAACATTTTTAATCTACACGATTAATGTTTAAAAAGCTATATTTCTTTCTAATTTTGTTGGAACGTATCGATTCGTTGTATATTTAAATTTATGTTAAAAACAAAGCATACTCTTGTGTTAAGAGTGTGTGGTCCATAGTTAGTTAACGGTTTATATTCCTTTTTTTCGTAAACACATTTATCTCAGCCGATATTCGCTACCGCAAGATTTAAAGGTTCAATTAGTAATTTAAATTTATGTAGATCGGATTTGAACAGAGTGTTTCGAGTAAACTTCCCCGCACACGGAGTTTTTAAAGTACGATAAAAAACTGGTGTTGGAATTCTTGCAAATGAAAGAGCTTTTTAACACAAAAATACCTGCACTTCGAAAGCTTACAAAGTTTATTGTGCAAGTTGTCATTTTAAGTGCCTTTGTAAACTGACGGCACGTAAATCTATTAGTTCTATTACCAAACTACAAGTTTCTGGAACTACAAGTTTCATACTCTTATAAAGATATGTCGCTGTCTTACTGTTTGTCGAAGTTCGAGTTTTAATTATTAAAACCTTCGTCGATTTAAAGATTTAAAAAAAAATCGTTCCAATTTTAAAATTCAAATTCATTGTAAAAATCTTTTTCTCTGTGCACGTTTGAAATGTCTAACTCGTAGCTTATCTACATACAAATGTTCTAAAAGCTGGGCAACCGGCGTCAACGCTATCTGGGGGAATCCAGGTTACCTACATTTCAGAGAAAGGCTTTCGATGTTCAGGCTAACATAGATAACCAACACATGTTAAATCTTTTGTGTTAAACGAGAATTATACGTTCTCTAGTTTTCATTTATTCACATATATACTATGATGAATGAAATTAAGTTTTTTTATGTGTTTATTCGTGCACATATCTGGGAAGTCAACTAACCTTCCAGCCAGCGTGGTTGTCTATGACCTAGTCACGCTTTACTTTGGGTAGGCTCCAAACTGTCAGCTGTTGGAAGTTTCTTATTAATATCCTAAATATGTCGTATATTTGCTAACTTTAAAAAAATGGTAATTTTTTTGTAATACAACGTATCTTTTATTAAAAACTTTTGATTTGCATACATTAAGCTTTATTAAGCTTCCACTAGCAACATTAAAAATGCATTCAGAAACAATATTCCGTAAATATATACGTCCATTTTAATTAAATAACTATTGAATGTAATTTAAATATTCGATAGACGTTGAATATCAATAATACGATAAATTCAGTTCAGTTATATGAATATTTGATTTTTTAGTTAGTGTAATCAAAATGCAATTTTAGGAGTCATATTAGACAGGTCCCTTTGACTAAACTATAGCACAATAGTTGTGCGATTGTCGATTGTTTCGCAATTCAACTGTTTAGCGTAACTGAAATTTAGTAGTATGCACATATAAGATCATAGGAAACAAAGCGAGATTAAACAGTTGTCCGATAGCTTAGTCAAAGGGCACGCTCTAATATTACTTCTAAAATTGTAATGGGGTTTAAATTAATTATTGTGAAAAATATTGCCTGTGTTACTAATTGATTACGTAGCTTTTTAACTGTGAAAGATTTGAAATCGGGCCACTAGTGTTTAAGTTATTTCAATAGATACAAAAATACAAATATCTTGACTATTAGTATAGATATAAATGGCTAGAAACGTGTTGAATCGCTTTATCAGAGTTTCCTAAATTGTGTATTTCTTTAATGTTTTATTTAAAACAGAGTAATTTGATTCTTACCTTTAATCGAACATTCAATTTACAGAATCGTAATACAATATTAGTTTAATTAAGTGTCCGCGGAGAGTGGTTGATCAGATTTCACTTGTAGTATCCATTTACCGATATTAAAAACAAGATGAAATGAAGCCCTGATTTGATTGACTGCCTTTTTAAAAGATATTCGGTTACCGAACTTTTATTTTGCGATATTCAAAATTAGTTAACTTTAAAATTGATCTCTGATTTTACTTTAAAAAGGACATTGATTTAGAAGATACTAGCTTTCGCCCGCGACTCCGTCTGCGTGGAATTAAAAAAAACAAAAGTGAGCATGTGTTCTTCTATACTATCCTCTGTATCAAATCGCATTGAAATCCATTCAGCCGTTTAAGCTACAAACTCTTAACATCCAGCTAAACTTTCGCATTTATAATATTAAGTATGATGTTATTAATACCTGGTTTCTGAAGTTTCGATTTATTTTATCATTACGTATAGATTCATTAGTGTTAGGTTGATGTTTCAACGGAGTTACAGTTAAGTTCGGAAACACAATCCACAAAATTGTAGAACCAAAAACACTAACGAATTGTTAAACGTAGCTGGGAAACCGACCATTAGCCATTATGTGAACAACAATTCTATACAGATCTATGATAGAAAAGAGACGAAAAGTAGGAGACAGAAATAAAGTATGATAGAATGGATAATAAAACGCCATAGTGGTCCTATATTTACTATGTAAACAAAAGGTAAAATACAAGATACACATGTGAACACAAATTTTCATATGATTATAAAATTATTTTTTTATAATATTTCCGTTTGCCTGCTCGACTGGATTGCGCATTTTACAGCACTCCATATCATGTTAAATTAAAACAAAAGATTGACCGTAATGAAGCACCTGGCAGGTACAAAAGACCCCACCGCGGTCTATTGACTACGGAATGTGGGGACACCGTGACTAAAGCGTGGTGGGACCCTGCTTATTACAACCGCTTTTGTGTTGTAATAACAAGATGCTCTTTTAAATTGTTATTGTTCTAATTAGCAAAAAGGACAGCTATGCAAGTTTTTAGCTATTTAAAATTAATGTAAATTATTGTGTTTACGATGGGGACATAAAACAGAAAGTGTTAAGACTGAATGTAGTTGGCTACAAAGGTAGAGGAAGACCGAAGAAAGTATGGATGGATTGTGTGAAAGAGGATATGCTTAAGAAAGGAGAGGATTCAGATATGATAGCTGATAGAGATGTATGGAAGAGCAGCACGTACTGTGCCGATCCTCCGTAAGGGATAAGGGCAAGTGGATGATGATTATTTTGTTTATCCGTTTTAACAAGAATGCTAGTTTCAGTCAAAAAAAACTGTTAACGACATATTTCAATAGGGATTTAGTATGATTTTTAACTCAGAGTTTTAGAATTAATACATTAAATGTATTTGTTTTACCGATACTAACTATTTTTTTAGGTATTAATAGGTAATACGACGCTTACAGCACATTCTTATTTGAAAATGACTACGTTAAACAATTATTGACCGTTATTTATTCGAAAACCCACAAACTAATAAAGCTATAACACTCATTTTAAATTGATATTTTGATAGCCATATTGTAATATTAAAAATTGTGTTTTTGTGCATTCACCGTTCACCAATTTCAACAGTACCTTGCAGTAAAAAGTTAAATGAATTTCGTGACAATCATAAACTTTTTTAACATAAAGTAATGAAAACATTTATCGGAAAAGCATATAAAGTAAATATGCTGTTAAGTATTTTTCTGTAATATAAATCGATTTGTAGTCGGGGATAAAATTGTACACTAGCCGTCGCCTGAACTTCGTCCTCGTGGAATTAAAAAAATATTTAATAGCATATGTGTTCTTCAGCGTCGGTGGCTCAGTGGTTTGAACACTTGATTTGTAATCTACAGGTCTTGGGTTCGAATCCTGCCATGTACCAATGTGATTTTCGATTTTTCAAATTTTCATACGTACATAGTTTAACCGACGTTCTTACGGTGAAGTTTCCTTCGTGATGCAACCTGTACATATCGGCGAAGAAATTTAAAGATGTGTGTGAAGTCAACCAACCAACACTTGGCCAGCGTGGTTGACTATGGCCTAGTCACCCTAACTTAGGGTAGGCTCCGAGCCCCTCGGTGGGGACGTATAGTGAGCTGGTGATGATGATGAAGATGATATGTGTTCTTCAAGACTATGTTCTGTACATATACCAAATTTCATACAATTTCATGCTGTTCTGGAATTACATAGTAGCAAATATCTATCAAAACTTTCACATTTTAAATAAGTCATCATCATCCACTGCTGGTTGGTAAGAAGTAATAAAGACAAAGGTTACAATTTTTCTATGTAGTCATGGAATTACAAGAAGTTATTTGAGAACACTTTTATACAGAAAATTACTCTATTAAAGTATTAGTTACTATAGTAATTTGATATTCGACAAATGCAAATTATAATGTCCCAAAATATATAACCTCAAAGAATAAATCGCTAGCTTCAAGTAGATTTATTGCTCCAATCTCCGCGAAACAACGGCACGGCACGCCCAGCAAATCTAAAGAATGGCTGTTTTGGAACTTACTGTTGTAATTCCCCCCACAAATTCGCTACGTACAATTCTAATTTTCTTTGATTTTCATCGACGGTTCACCCTTGACCCATCATTTATTTAGTTACTCATTTCTCTCAACTTATAATGCATTTAACGATAAGAAAATTCCAACTCTATTGTCATTAAATAGAGTACATTTTCCTATAACAGATGTACAAAATAAGTCCCTTTTAGTATAACACGGTCGATACCAGTATAAACGTAACAAAATGTCGAAATCGCGTGTTACTTTGTACTTATCTTATTGCTATTTTGCATATATTATTTGTATGCATATTACGTTACAAACTTGGGGTTTCGTAAGCTTTTATAATTTGCGGTATTGTAACGTAATATATTACGTAATGTTATATTTTTCAATTACTATCTACACTAATTTAATGTATTGTAAACACACAGCTTTGTTTTTGACTGACTTCCCATAAGAAGGAGGTACTCAATTCGTCTATATGTTTTTTTTTTATGTGTGTTACGGCATAACTTCGCGGCTAGTGGACCGATTTTTCTAATTCTTTTTTATCCGAAAGGTAATGCTTTTTTAAATCTCTACACTTACGATACGCTTTAAGCCATATT